CTTGGCCTCTGTTTGTATCAGAGGCTGGAGAGAGATGGCAGGAGACAAATCGCTTGATCATTGTCTTCGGTCCACCCTCTCTGGGGCACCTGGTGCTGGCCACTGTCGGCAGACAGGATACTGGGCTAGAAGGACCTTTGGTCTGACCCAGTATGGCCGTTCTTATGTTCTTATGTTTTGCTGTGTGGACGCTCTCTTTCGAAAGAAGTTTTTCCAGAAGAGCTCTTCCAGAAAAGCTTCTTCCGAAAGAAGCCTGCAGTCTGGACATAGCCTCAGACTGACACGATGGGGGAAATTTCAGCTAACGCGGTGCAGACGTTTCTGAGCATGAGGCTAGCGGGAAAAGCATGGTTTTGTCCATGTTAAAAAAATTGGCCAAAATGCTTCATTAAGACGCCTGAGCACCTTCGTGCTCTGGAGCAAGGACTTGAAATCTGCCAAGGGAGACCACTCAGGAGCCAGGATGGTGCCTTTTCGCAACACTGAAAATTCACCCAAATTTGGCCTTTGGAAAATCGCACGTGGGGCTAGTTAGAGTTTGGTAGCTAAATTGGCGGAAGTATCTGTCCGCACTGAGCATGCTCTGTTCTCCCCCTGCGCCGGCCGGGAGCTGGATTGCATATGTGCCCTGCGCGCCAAGTGACTGAGCATGGGCAGGACTGGCCCTGCGATGACTCTTTGCCACCCTGTGGGGCTGCAGCAGGCACCAGACGTGAGAGCCACAGCCTGTCTCTCCTGGGCTCTCCATTACCCACCTGCTGGGCCCAGGCCACCTCCCGGAGGAGGAAGAGCAGCTTGACTGGAATGCAGAGGGGGGATGAAGAGGGAAGATACAAAGTGGGGGGCAGGAGCAGGCAACAAAGCCCAATAGGGTAGCAGCAGGTGAAGGGGCAGGGAGAGTCTCGGGGTCGGGGAGCCGGGGTAGAAGAATTTGTGAAGACAACCCGCTTCTACTGGGCCAGTACTACTACCCCTCCAATACCGGGGTGGGCAATAATTTTTTAAGTCAAATTTTTGAAGTAGCCCTGGGCCACCCTGGAAGGGGCGGGGCCTAAACAGGAAGGGGGAGGGGTCTAAATGGGAAGGGGCGTGGCCACCCCACCCCCAGACCAATGGGGAGCCTCTTTGCCCCCCCTTCATCTAGGCACCCATGCCCTGGAAGAGTCTTAGCATGCTCCCCCACCCCAGACCAATCAGGGCCTGGGGGCAGGGGAGCGTAGGAAGCCTCCTCCTACCCTGCAAGGAGCATGTGGCACTTTGAAGTGCCGCGGGCTCCTTGCAGGCCAGGCAGGGAGAAGGAAGCTTCACGCAGCTCCCCCACTCCCAGGCCCCGATTGGCCTGGGGGGCGGGGGGACAGCCGATCCAACCACCTGGCGGGCCGCATCCGGCCCATGGAGGCCCTTTCGCCCACCCCTGCTCCAGTAGTACAAGCAGCAGCGGTACGTGCAGGTACCTCTACAGATCACAACTGTGTGTGTGGATGGAGGCATCAGTGTTCCCTCTCGTTTTTTTCCACCCATGTGCGAATAAATCTTGTCATGTGCAGATGTGCACCACCTGGAGAAACAGATGTTGCCAGCTGTGCACGCTGTGGGCGCTCTGCTCATCAGCTGGGCAGCATATGAGTCTCTCCTGGGTGGCCACCCAAGCACACAGCTTACAGGGAACACTGATGGGGGTCCTCCGGAAAGTGGGATTTTTTTCTTTCAGTGTTAACATTTTGTTTAACGAGGAAATTACCTCTCCAAAAGTTACATTAAAGAACCTGAAGGTTGCAAAGGGAACCAAGTTAGGAAAGCCAGAATGAAGGCTGCCGGTCCAACTTTATTCCTTGCGTGCACAGTGTGATATGCTCTTTAAGTATATGGGCACACGCCATTGGGTAGGGCCCTTTGCACCAAATGAGTTTGGTAGCTTTTGATGTAATGGAAGGTGCTGTGATTAAATTGGGGGCATTCAGAATGAAGGTGGCTGCAGAGGAGCAAGACTGAAAATTCTGCTGAGAGCAAAAACAACCGACTTGCCAAGACTACCATTGTTTATTTATATTTGTATAGAGCAGTCGGCAGCCCAGCGATGTTTAGGTCCCGGACAGATCATTAAAAGGCCAATTTCTGTCTGGAAGAAGCATATTCTCTGTCTTGTTCAATCCTTAATTGGATGTGACCTCTGGCTGGCCGTCTTGACGGATCTACTGCGGAACACCTGGCCTGGGAGCTGTGGGGGGAGGGGCGGGCTTATTGGACCCAGTCCACACACACAGTTGCACCAGTTTAACATAGGATGTCTTTTAAATCAATCGCCTTAAACAGCCTCTGGCCACTCTTACTTCCAGCTAAACCTTGCTTATATTGATTTTGCTTAGATGGACCCATTGTTGCCTTCCGCTCTCTACTCAATATTTGAGAGAGTGAGTGTGTCTGTCTGTCTGTTCAAGAACTCCTCCCAAACGGCGACAGCTAGGGCCACCGAATTTGTTATACAACTTCCTCTTATAACTGAAAGCAAGGTCGGGGGTGGGTTGTGCCAGAACAATTGGCTGTGCCCGGAATGGGATTGGTTCTCATAAAACCATTCAGAAAAAAAGAGACAGGATCACCAGGCAGGTGACAGGGGCTGGCTAGGGGCATTCCCCATCTGGGACTGAGGGCACTCCCCTCCCCCACATCTGGGACTGGCTCAGCTCCAAACCTCCCACGCCCCAGGTGCACTTTAGAAAGGAGTTGGGGAGGTTGTTCCCCCTTGTCAGGGGGCGAGGGGAAAGTGCAGTTTGCTGCATTCCTCACTCTGGCCGGGGAGTGCAGCGGGCAGGTGCGTTATGCACTTTGCTCTCGCTCCCTGACAGGGACAGAAAAGGGAAGAGCAAGCAGTCCTGGTACAAAACTAATGGAGGGGGGGTGGCTCTCCAGAGCCCCTCTTCATCCCCCCCAACCCTGACTCCTGCACCCCCCCAACCCTAGCTCCCTGCCCTGAGCCCCTTCTTAAGGACCCAAGGAACACTGCGTAAATGTGTTAGTGCAGATAGAAGGCACAGATACATGGAAGTAAGAGTTTCTTTGATGGAAAACTTGCATTTTCAGTTAAATGTCTGGTTTTTTATTGAATTGGGGGGGTCACTGAAAACCCCAAATTCTTCTAGGTGTCAAAATCCCTCCCCCATATTTAAAACAAATTTATTTTCATTTTAGCGGCAGGGGGGAAGGGGACAAAAAACACACAAAATATTCCAGAAAATGTGGTCAGGGGAAGAAAACTGACTCCCCCCAAGCTGTGAAGAGCGCCTGGCAAGTACCTGATTTATTGGTTGATCTTTGTTAAATTGGCACCTTGTGTGAGGTGAAGCCCTTTGTTCCTTGTGTGTACAGCTCTGAGCACACGGGGCCCTGGAATCTTTGTGGCTATAGGAAAACACGCAGCTCCTGACCTTGGACAGTTATTAATTAGGGAAGGACAAGAGCAACAGGAACAAACATTCAAAATAGTTCAGACCCAGACAGACTGCAGAGAACTTCCCAAGGATCGTGCACAACTGGGTGACTGGGCAACAAAATGAGATTTTGAGTGAATAGATCGATGAACTCATCCGTTCAATGTACCAGGCAGTTAATCAAGCCGATGGACTGTTGGGAGTTGTGAAGAAAGGAATAGATAATAAAACAGCACACATCATATTGCCGCTGTATAAATCCATGGGACGCCCCATCTTGAACACTATGTCTAGATGTGGTCGCCTTGTCTCAAAACAGATATCTTGCTCTTGGAAGAGGTTCAGGAAAGGGATATAGAACGGCTGCCAATATGAGGAGAGATTAATAAGACTGGAAATTTCATCTCGGAAAGGTGACGAGTAAGGGGGATATGACCCTGTAAACTGAGTGCTCGGGTGGCCACCCAAGAGAGATTGCAATGCTGCCCAGCTGATTAGCAGAGCACCACAGTGCCCATAGATTGTATGTATCTTGGTGGTGCACATCCGCTCATGTCTTGGTGCACATAACAAAATTTATACCGCACATGACTGGGGACAAAATTAGAGGGAACGTTGGAAATGACTGAGGGCTATGAAATCATGACTGGTGTGGAGAAAGAACATAAGGAAGTGTTGTTGACTCCTTCTCAAAGCACAAGAACTAGAGGGTCATCAAATGAAATGAATAGGCAGCAGGTTTAAAGCCAACAAAAGGAATTATTCACACAACTGCAGAGTTAACCTGTGGAACTCCTCGCCAGAGGATGTTGTGAAGTCCAAGTCTTCTAAAAAGAGCTAGATAAATTCGTGGCTAGGTCCAGCAATGGCTATTAGCCAGGTTGGGCAGGGAGGGTGCCCCTAATCTCTGCTTGCTATAGGGGAGGGATCACTTGAGGATTCCCTGTTCTGTTCACTCCCTCCTGGGCACCTGACATTGGTCACTGGGCTAGATGGACCTTTGGCCTGACCTACTGAGGCCTGTTATGAATTTTTGCAGGCAGGGGCCAAGGCCCGAGGCTTTCCTTTTGGCCAGACAAGCCCCCCCCCCGCCGGCTGGGAGGGGGGGGCCCCCCCGGC